TTAGTTATTAGATTTCTATCCCAATTTTTCTTCAGGAGCTTAAGCTGGGATGCATGGCACTCCCTCCTCCTCTCTTTCTTCACAACAACCATCCTGTAAAGTAGATTGGGCTGAGAGAGAGTGACTGGTCCAAGATGGCTGAGGGTAGGCTAGCAATCTGGGTCTCCCTGCCCCAAATCCATCACCGTAACCACTACATGTTGCCTACTTTGTACCATCCTTCTCTTTGCATCGCATTCCATCCAAGGAGCCACTGAAATGCTTGAATTCAGCCTTTCAGAGAGAGAAAAAAAGTAAAACTTTCCTTGTTGAATGTAGTATTAATTTTCAACCCGAGGTTTGGAGATTATAGCTCAAATGTAGATCAACTACTCCCTCTACAGAAAATATTGCATTACAGCATCAGGAAAGTGTTTTGAAATCCTCTGGGACCTTCTAATAAGATACATGTGCTCTAGTGAAGCAAAGCTATTAAGACCGTAGATGATCTTCTCTTCCTAATATACATTTGAAACCGCTGAGACGTAAATAGACGAATTTTCCAGAGCCTTACAAACAGTTCTGAGTGAAAACATGTTAGATAATATATTACGGAGCAGAATCCATGATTTGCACAGAAAACAAAATCTGAATTTCAGTTTGAAATCAAGCATATTATCAATCAAACTAGCACTGATTTATAATTTGAAACCTATTTGATATACCCACATTCCCTCAACTATTTTGGCAATTCTAAAGTATTCAAAGAAGAAATCCTTCATAAAAAGTTTTGAAAGTGAAATATCAAGATTCAACCAAACATGACTTCATTGGGAGGGAGGGAAGTGGAACCACAGCCAGACCATGCATATCTAGAAAATGTTGACTTTTCTCCATGGGCGAACAGAAGAAAAACTGACACTCTGTTTTGTATAATCTAGTGAATCATAGGGCAACTCCATGCATGTGTATACATACATAAATCCCATTCTGATTAAAAGGGGTTGTTTTCAAATAAACACAGAATTTTAGCACAATATATGGAATCCATATCAGTAAGGATGGAGGTATTCAGAGATACCAAATGATGAAACTATGATTCTCTGTAAAATGTTTATGGATATGTTTTCATTAAATAAAAAGCAGAATTATATTATCTGTATTTTTAAATAAATCACATTTTGTGGAAGCCATACTGAGGGTATACTAAATAAACCTGCCTTTGGAAGTCACTGTTCTGCTTAAACTATCCTGCAGTAAAACTGCCTAAATAAATTGAGATGTTAAGTCTATCAATGTCTGAATTTCTACACTGTACTACAAGTCCACACAAGCTTGCTAATCAACAACTGTAACAACTTCTGGACTCTCAGTACAGAATGGGTAGTCACAAGCCTCCTAAGAAATCAGGACTCCATTCATCAGTCTAACATTCCTTCTTACACCATTCCTCTCATCACATGAGTTGGCCTTATTGTGTATGAGTCAGTGGTCTGCAGGCCACAACATGGTTTGGAGCTCTGTCATAAAATTAGCTCTGCTCTGCTGGGGATCTAAAATAGCAACAGCTGTCTACCCCGACCAGATGTGGTCCTTGGTGGAAATTAAGGTAGCAGCCGATGAATAATACTGAATGTTGACAGAAGATGACTAGACTGTCATACCTTTCTATTGAGAGTGCTGGTAAAAGCCCACAGTTTCAGTACCATGCAGGCAAGGCTTTACTCATTCTAACTAGTGACCCAGAGACACTTGTTAACCATGGAGAAAAAGTCTTGAGGAGCAATTGTTAATTATCATTTAATGTGGATAAGCTCATCTCATAGTTTAAATTACAGTTAGTGGCATATGACACCATTTTCAGTGAGCTGGGAAGAAGTTATTCGGTGTTGCGGATTCAAAAGTACAGAAGGGGATGGAAATTGCTAGAGGTTAAGAGTTTAAGAATGTACTGTATACGTGAAGTTCTGAAAATTCTTTGGGAGCTGCCTAAAACCAAAAAGTTATTTTTTTTCCAAGCACAACTCTTACAGAGTTTTCTTTAGCAAGATGTATTGAGATGGGATTACCAGCAATTGTTCAATTACCAGCAATTGAACAATTTTCCATTTAGAACCAATATATCCCCAAGTACATCAAGGTGGAAACTTTCTGATTTTCTTTCTATAGCCTCCCTGTGAAGCAGCAAAGAGGCGGATCTTCTGAGTGATAACAGAGAAGCTTCCAGTTGCTTCAGCCTCCTGAATCTTCATCAGTCTGGGACCTGGAACTAGATTATCATCTAAAAAATTCATGT